AAGAATCAGATCAATAAGGGGAATCGATAATGGCATTGGTATTAACAACATTTTTATCAATATCTGTGGTTGAACTTACCTCCATATTTAACACCAGATTTCTGGTGGCCTTGTAAGTGGGCAATTAGGGCATGGTGTGGCCCTGCCTTGTGGCACATCGGCCACTGAAAAGTGTCCACTCCCAATTTACAGAGCTCTGGGCATGTGCCCTCCCTAAATGTTGTGATGTTGGTCTATAGGAGAATAAAATACGATTAAAAAAACTCATAGGCCTACTTCCTCACTTTATGCATTTTATTCTGGAAAGAAATAAAAGGAACTGTAAACTACACTTCAATCAAACTTAATCAACACACATATCGAAAGGCAGGATTGTGTGTGTGTGGCGGTATCGGATCGGCCAGTTACCACTGTGAAGTAAATCATCCGATACCGTAATTTCGTCCAGTATCGGCCCGATACCGATACCCAGTATCGGATCGGCGCATCTCTAATGAATACAGATGAGCAGATTTTTCTACACATTTGAAAACCTGATTCCAGAGAGACAAATTGTGAGACGACTTTTACAGATTCCGGTTCACACTGACAACTTCTTTTACACATTGACAAATGTCACTTTGGACAAATGGATTGAGATACAGACAGACAACTCTCCATACGCATGGACAAATAGTTTTGCTACAATAATGCCCCCATAATTTCACAGCACAGATGTTTCGCACATGAGATTTTTGTCTTAAGAGGAACCACACAGAATTAAACCACGTTTCAGGGAAATGTCATGCACACCGAACCTTCAAAGAGGAACTGCAACTTGTTGTTTGATCTGCCCTTTTTTTTCAAATCAGGACCTGAAAACGCGACGAGAAAAACAGAAGCACAAACACACTCCCTGTTCCTCAGCTTAGCTTGAGCAATGCATTTTTTATCTCTACATTCCTGGCATATTTGGAGTCGACGGTACCTTCTAGAAGCTTAGGGTCAAAGAATTACGAAAAAAAAAAAAAATGAGGGCTGCATTTTGTTTACCCCGTCGTTGTGCTGTGAAATATTTGGTAGGAACATGAAGTGAGGGAATATTAACAGGATTCATGAAAAGTGTGCGAAGCGTGTTAACAGGTAGTACAGAGGGCAGGCCTGGATGTGTTGCTGTGCCTGGGGGAGGGAGGGGCAGAGTGGGAAGCAAAGGGGAAGGGAGAGAAAGAGGGCGGAGACTGACCGAGCTGTTAAATGACTTTTGACTCCTGGGGGAGTGTGTATTGGTGCAGCAGAGAGAGAGAGAGAGAGGCTATTAACTCTGAAACTGCACTGTGGTGGCATTAGAGATAAATAGCCTGACAGAAGTTAAGAAGGCACAAAGAAAATAGAGCCACAGAGGCAGCGAGAGAATGAGGGATAATTAAAGAGAAGTAACGAGACAGCGAGCGGCACAGAGAAGCTGTGGGAGTGAGAGGAGACTCAGCATTTAGAGAAGTTTATATATAACCTCCTATAGCCAGCTCTGGACGCCTGCCCAGCACAACAGGTACAGTACTCACCTCTTTGACTGGATAATTCTCCACAAGGTGATGCTTAAAATGGATTAAGGCTGTACATAAATATAACACCAAGTGCGTTTTCTGCATTTTTTTTAAACTTTTGAGTTGATTTTTATGGAGTGGCCTGTTTTCTATCTGTTAGAGAACTTTACAGCACATAAGGACCACCTGAACAGGAACCATCAGTTCACAAAAACTTTTTATATAGTGGCGTCTGTGTTGGCGTACAGTAACAGTGGCATTATTCTAATGGAGGACCTGAGGAAGGAAGTATGGAGTTCAAAATGATTTGGCTTGTTGACCGCTATAGGATGTTTTTGCCGCTATGAAGTGAATCAGGGTTGCCATTCATTGTCGGCTCCTCGCACACGGAGGCAGAGCACTGAGTCAGCACTTATCAAGTCTAAGTTGTCGTTGTCGGTCCCATTCACGGGCTGATTGTCGTTTCTTAATAACGGGCTTTTGTGCACTCAATTCCTGTTTTTGAAGTTTGCGAATGCAGGTTTTTAAAAGGAAGAAGAAAAAAGACTGTCCATAAACAGAGCTGAGAGCATTTCATCCATTCAGTTCGGGGTCACGTCAATCAGTGCTTTTGATGTGCTCACCTGCAGGTTGGCTCATTTTTCAAACTCTACTCACTGAATGAAGTTTCAAGATACCA